ATGGGCGCTCTGTATTATGTATATGGGGGGGGGGGGTATGATATTCCCCCATAATGCTCTTGTCATGGTGCTATAGGCTATATAATTGGGGCCCTATACTCTATATATTGGGGGTATGAGATTCCCCAAAATATTACTTAGCCTCCCCTCCCCCACACCTAGTTGTTAGCATACAATAGGGCTGATATTTCCATGATGGATCTATAGATTATATAAGGGGGTCTCTGTGGTCTGTATGTTGGGGGGGGGGGGGAGGGGTATTACCTGACAGAGGGTCTCCTCTCCCTGGATCCCCTTCTTGTCTCTCTGGAAGTCGGGAAGGTTGTGCCGGAGCTGGCGGGACATTCAGGATATGCAGACGGATCTTTGGCAACCCAGAAATGTGGTCCAGAGGTGACAGACAAATACTTCTGAGCTCCTCCTACACTGTACATCTACTTATATAGGGTGTCACCTTCTCCGTATCCCCCCTATAGGTCACGTATAGTATATACAGGGTGTCACCATCTCCGTATCCCTCCTATAGGTCACATATAGAATATACAGGGTGTCGCCTTCTCCGTATCCCTCCTATAGGTCACGTATAGTATATACAGGGTGTCGCCATCTCCGTATCCCTCCTATAGGTCACGTATAGAATATACAGGGTGTCACCATCTCCGTATCCCCGCTATAGGTCACGTATAGAATATATAGGGTGTCGCCTTCTCCGTATCCCTCCTATAGGTCACGTATAGAATATACAGGGTGTCACCATCTCCGTATCCCCGCTATGGGTCATGTATAGTATATATACAGGGTGTCGCCATCTCCGTATCCCTCCTATAGGTCACGTATAGAATATATAGGGTGTCACCTTCTCCGTATCCCTCCTATAGGTCACGTATAGAATATATAGGGTGTCACCATCTCCGTATCCCCGCTATGGGTCATGTATAGTATATACAGGGTGTCGCCATCTCCGTATCCCTCCTATAGGTCACGTATAGAATATATAGGGTGTCACCTTCTCCGTATCCCTCCTATAGGTCACGTATAGAATATATAGGGTGTCACCATCTCCGTATCCCCGCTATGGGTCACGTATAGTATATACAGGGTGTCGCCTTCTCCGTATCCCTCCTATAGGTCACGTATAGTATATATAGGGTGTCGCCTTCTCCGTATCCCTCCTATAGGTCACGTATAGAATATACAGGGTGTCACCTTCTCCGTATCCCTGCTACAGGTCACGTATAGAATATACAGGGTGTCGCCTTCTCCGTATCCCTCCTATAGGTCACGTATAGTATATATAGGGTGTCGCCTTCTCCGTATCCCTCCTATAGGTCACGTATAGAATATACAGGGTGTCACCATCTCCGTATCCCTCCTATAGGTCACGTATAGAATATACAGGGTGTCGCCTTCTCCGTATCCCTCCTATAGGTCACGTATAGTATATACAGGGTGTCACCATCTCCGTATCCCTCCTGTAGGTCACGTATAGTATATACAGGGTGTCACCTTCTCCGTATCCCTCCTATAGGTCACGTATAGTTTATACAGGGTGTCACCATCTCCGTATCCCTCCTATAGGTCACGTATAGTATATACAGGGTGTCACCATCTCCGTATCCCTCCTATAGGTCACGTATAGTATATACAGGGTGTCACCATCTCCGTATCCCTCCTATAGGTCACGTATAGTATATATAGGGTGTCACATTCTCCGTATCCCTCCTATAGGTCACGTATAGTATATACAGGGTGTCACCATCTCCGTATCCCTCCTATAGGTCCAGTATAAAATATATAGGGTGTCACGTTCTCCGTATCCCTCCTATAGGTCACGTATAGTTTATACAGGGTGTCACCATCTCCGTATCCCTCCTATAGGTCCAGTATAGAATATATAGGGTGCTACCATCTCTGTTTCCCTCCTATAGGTCAAGTATAGACTATATAGGGTGTTACCTTCTCTGTATCCCTCTTGTAGGTCCAGTATAGACTATATAGGGTGGTATCTTCTCCGTATCTCTCTTTTAGGTCCAGTATAGCTTAAATATGATGCTATCTTCTTCTTGAAGTCCAGTATAGATTATATATAGGGTGTTACCTTCCCAGTGTCCCTCCTATACCTCCAGTATAGTTTTTATAGGGTGTTAAGTCCAGTAAAGCTTATACAGGGTGTTATGGCCTTTTTAAAGTCCAATATAGATTATAGAGGGCGTTTACCTTCTCTGTGTCCCTCCTATAGCTCCAGTGAAACTTATATAGGGGGTTAACTTCTCCTTGAAGTCCAGTATAGAGGATGGATATAGGGTGTTACCTTCTCCGAATCCCTCCTATAGGTTCAATGTAGATTATAGATGAAGTTACCTTCTCTGTATCCCTCCTATAGGTCCCGTATAGATTTATTAGGGGTGTTATCTTCTCCTTGAAGTCCAGTATAGATTATATAGGGTGTTACCTTTTCCGTATCCCTCCTATAGGTCCAGTATAGATTATATGGGGTGTTATCTTCTCCGTATCCCTCCTATAGGTCCAGTCCTTCTCCGTATCCCTCCTATAGATTATATATGGGGTGTTACCTTCTCCGTATCCCTCCTATAGGTCCATAGATTATATAGTTGTTACCTAGATTCCATATGGGGTGTTACCTTCTCCGTATCCCTCCTATAGGTCCAGTATAGATTATATAGGTTGTTACCTTCTCCGTATCCCTCCTATAGGTCCAGTATATATAGGGTGTTATTATCCCTCCTATAGGTCCAGTATAGATTATATAGTTACCTTCTCCGTATCCCTCCTATAGGTCCAGTATAGATTATATGGGGTGTTTTCTTCTCTGTATTCCCCCTAAGAGGTTATCATTGAGTATTCAGTATATTCTCCTCCCTCTGGCTGTCCTGGAGGGTCAGTATAGAAAATCTTCTGACACCTCTCCCATTTATAAGTATCCCCCCTATGGAATCCCCCTCCTCCTCAGGGTCCGGCACACTCTGTAGGTTGTCTTGTCTCCTCCGTCACATATAGATTGGCTCCTATGGTCGGAGAAGCTCCTCTGAAGGATTCTGCAGACTTTTCGTGGTGATGTTGGATGGAGAAGTGATTCAGACTGACTCACCGTATAATGGATCGTCTGCCGGAGCGGATGGCTGACCCTGTGCTGACACACAGATCCGGAGTCACTCCCCGCCTGGGACTGGACCAGGAAAACAGCAGAAATCTGCTTCAAATTAAAATTTTCCAAACCGAGCTCCTCGCTGTGTTCTTCATGATATCTCTCCAGCGGGGGGCGCTGCAATGTGTACTGTAATGTTTAGGGGCAGAAACACAACTACAGGAAGAGACAGTATAATATATATACACTATAGTGCCCAAAGTATTGTCCCCGCCCTCTAATCATGTGATTCAGTTGTTCCAATCCCCTCCATATCATGTGATTCAGGTGTTCCAATCCCCTCCATATCATGTGATTCAGGTGTTCCAATCCCCTCCCAATCATGTGATTCAGGTGTTCCAATCCCCTCCATATCATGTGATTCAGGTGTTCCAATCCCCTCCCAATCATGTGATTCAGGTGTTCCAATCCCCTCCCAATCATGTAATTCAGGTGTTCCAATCCCCTCCCAATCATGTGATTCAGGTGTTCCAATCCCCTCCATATGTGATTCAGGTGCTCCAATCCCCTCCCAATCATGTGATTCAGGTGTTCCAATCCCCTCCATATCATGTGATTCAGGTGTTCCAATCCCCTCCCAATCATGTGATTCAGGTGTTCCAATCCCCTCCCAATCATGTAATTCAGGTGTTCCAATCCCCTCCATATCATGTGATTCAGGTGTTCCAATCCCCTCCATATCATGTGATTCAGGTGTTCCAATCCCCTCCATATCATGTGATTCAGGTGTTCCAATCCCCTCCATATCAAGTGATTCAGGTTTTCCAATCCCCTCCCAATCATGTGATTCAGGTGTTCCACTCCCCTCCATATCATGTGATTCAGGGTGGTCCAATCCCCTCTCCCAATCATGTGATTCAAGTGGTCCAATCCCCTCCATATCATGTAATTCAGGTGTTCCAATCCCCTTCATATCTTGTGATTCAGGTGGTCCAATCCCCTCCCAATCATGTGATTCAAGTGGTCCAATCCCCTCCATATCATGTAATTCAGGTGTTCCAATCCCCTTCATATCATGTGATTCAGGTGTTCCAATCCCTTCCCAATCATGTGATTCAGGTGTTCCAATCCCCTCCATATCATGTGATTCAGGTGTTCCAATCCCCTCCATATCAAGTGATTCAGGTGTTCCAATCCCCTCTGTATCATGTGATTCAGGTGTTCCAATCCCCTCCCAATCATGTGATTCAGGTGTTCCAATCCCCTCCATATCAAGTGATTCAGGTGTTCCAATCCCCTCCCAATCATGTGATTCAGGTGTTCCAATCCCCTCCCAATCATGTGATTCAGGTGTTCCAATCCCCTCCATATCATGTGAATCAGGTGTTCCAATCCCCTTCCAATCATGTGATTCAGGTGTTCCAATCCCCTCCCAATCATGGGATTCAGGTGTTCCAATCCCCTTCCAATCATGTGATTCAGGTGTTCCAATCCCCTCCCAATCATGTGATTCAGGTGTTCCAATCCCCTCCAAATCATGTGATTCAGGTGTTCCAATCCCCTCCATATCAAGTGATTCAGGTGCTCCAATCCCCTCCATATCAAGTGATTCAGGTGTTCCAATCCCCTCCGTATCATGTGATTCAGGTGTTCCAATCCCCTCCCAATCATGTGATTCAGGTGTTCCAATCCCCTCCATATCAAGAGATTCAGGTGTTCCAATCCCCTTCCAATCATGTGATTCAGTTGTTCCAATCTCCTCCCAATCATGTGATTCAGGTGTTCCAATCCCCTTCATATCATGTGATTCAGGTGTTCCAATCCCCTCCATATCATGTGATTCAGGTGTTCCAATCCCCGCCAAATCATGTGATTCAGGTGTTCCTATCCCCTCCATATCATGTGATTCAGGTGTTCCAATCCCCTCCTTATCAAGTGATTCTGGTGTTCCAATCCCCTCCGTATCATGTGATTCAGGTGTTCCAATCCCCTCCCAATCATGTGATTCAGGTGTTCCAATCCCCTCCATATCAAGTGATTCAGGTGTTCCAATCCCCTCCATATCATGTGATTCAGGTGTTCCAATCCCCTCCCAATCATGTGATTTCAGGTGTTCCAATCCCCCTCTATATCATGTGATTCAGGTGTTCCAATCCCCTCCAAATCATGCGATTCAGGTGTTCCAATCCCCTCCCAATCATGCGATTCAGGTGTTCCAATCCCCTCCAAATCATGTGATTCAGGTGTTCCAATCCCCTCCAAATCATGTGATTTAGGTGTTCCAATCCCCTCCATATCAAGTGATTCAGGTGTTCCAATCCCCTCCGTATCATGTGATTCAGGTGTTCCAATCCCCTCCCAATCATGTGATTCAGGTGTTCCAATCCCCTCCATATCAAGTGATTCAGGTGTTCCAATCCCCTCCATATCATGTGATTCAGGTGTTCCAATCCCCTCCCAATCATGTGATTCAGGTGTTCCAATCCCCTCCAGATCATGTGATTCAGGTGTTCCAATCCCCTTCCAATCATGTGATTCAGGTGTTCCAATCCCCTCCCAATCATGTGATTCAGGTGTTCCAATCCCCTCCCAATCATGTGATTCAGGTGTTCCAATCCCCTCCAAATCATGTGATTCAGGTGTTCCAATCCCCTCCCAATCATGTGATTCAGGTGTTCCAAATCCCCTCCATATCATGTGATTCAGGTGTTCCAATCCCCTCCATATCATGTGATTCAGGTGTTCCAATCCCCTCCATGGACACAGGTGTATACAATCAAGCCCCTAGGCATGCAGACGGCTTCTACAAACATTGGTGAAAGAATGGGTCGCTCTCAGGAGCTCAGTGACTCCAAGCGTGGTCCCGTGATAGGTGGCCACCTGGGCAATAAGTCCATCCGGGACATTTCCTGGCTACTAAATATTTCACGCTCAACTGTTAGTGGGATTATAACAAAGTGGAAGCAACTGGGAACAACAGCCACTCACCCACCAAGTGGTAGGCCACGTCACATGACAGGGCAGGGTCAGCGCATGCTGAAGCGCACAGTGCGCAGAAGTCACCAACTGTCTGCAGAGTCAATAGCTAAAGACCTCCAAACTTGGTGTGGCCTTCAGATGAGCCCAACAACAGAGCGTAGAGAGCTTCATGGAATGGGTTTCCATGGCCGAGCAGCTGCATCCAAGCCTTCCATCACCAAGTGCAATGCAAAGCGTCGGATACCGTGGTGTAAAGCACGCCGCCACTGGACTCTAGAGCAGGGGAGTCGTGTTCTCTGGAGTGACCAATCACTCTTCTCTGTCTGGCAATCTGAAGGACGTGTCTGGGTTTGGTGGTGGCCAGGAGAACGGTACTTGCCTGACTGCATTGTGCCAAGTGTAACGTTTGGTGGAGGGGGGATTATGGTGTGGGGGGGTGTTTTTCAGGGGTTGGGCTTGGCCCCCTAGTTCCAGAGAAGGGAACTCTTAAGGCAACATTTTGGACAATTTCATGCTCCCAACTTTGTGGGAGGAGTTTGGGGATGGCCCTTCCTGTTCCAACAAGACTGCGCTCCAGTGCACAAAGCAAGGTCCATAAAGACATGGAGGAGCCAGTTTGGGGTGGAGGAACTTGACTGTCCTGCACAGAGTCCTGACCTCAACCCCATAGAACACCTTTGGGATGAATTAGAGCGGAGACTGCGAGCCAGGCCTCCTCCCCCGACATCAGTGCCTGACTTGACAAATGTGCTTCTGGAAGAATGGTCCAACCTTCCCATAGACACCCTCCTAAACCTTGTGGACGGCCTTCCCAGAAGAGTTGAAGCTGTTATAGCTGCAAAGGGCGGGGCCAACTCAATATTGAACCCTACGGACTAATACTGGGGGGCCATTAAAGGTTATGTGCGTGGAAAGGGCGGGGCCAACTCAATATTGGACCCTACGGACTAAGACTGGGGAGCCATTAAAGGTCATGTGTGTGGAAAAGGGCGGGGCCAACTCAATATTGAACCCTACAGACTAAGACTGGGAGGCCATTAAAGGTCATGTGTGTGGAAAGGGCGGGGCCAACTCAATATTGAACCCTACAGACTAAGACTGGGAGGCCATTGAAGGTCATGTGCGGGGAAAGGCCGGCCGCCCAAAACTTGGGGCAATATTATGTATCTATATGGCTTTGACATAATCCATAGTGTTGTACAAGGGGTGTGGCAGTGAAGATGATACATTGTTCCTTTCTAATACAATGGTTGCCTATAACACACCGGGAGGATCACACCGATAACTGCCAGCATTAGACCGCCATCACTGAGAACAAGTGTATGGGAACCTATACCATTCAGGGGAGGACCTGGTCCTCACCAGCACAATGTACAGGAATCTATATCTTCCAGGAGGGGACCTGGTCCTCACCAGCACAATGTACAGGAATCTATATCTTCCAGGAGGGGACCTGGTCCTCACCAGCACAATGTACAGGAATCTATATCCTCCAGGAGGGGACCTGGTCCTCACCAGCACAATGTACGGGAATCTATATCTTCCAGGAGGGGACCTGGTCCTCACCAGCACAATGTATGGGAATCTATATCTTCCAGGAGGGGACCTGGTCCTCACCAGCACAATGTACAGGAATCTATATCCTCCAGGAGGGGACCTGGTCCTCACCAGCACAATGTACAGGAATCTGTATCCTCCAGGAGGGGACCTGGTCCTCACCAGCACAATGTACAGGGATCTGTATCCTCCAGGAGGGGACCTGGTCCTCACCAGCACAATGTACAGGGATCTGTATCCTCCAGGAGGGGACCTGGTCCTCACCAGCACAATGTACGGGAATCTGTATCCTCCAGGAGGGGACCTGGTCCTCACCAGCACAATGTACGGGAATCTGTATCCTCCAGGAGGGGACCTGGTCCTCACCAGCACAATGTACGGGAATCTGTATCCTCCAGGAGGGGACCTGGTCCTCACCAGCACAATGTACGGGAATCTGTATCCTCCAGGAGGGGACCTGGTCCTCACCAGCACAATGTACGGGAATCTGTATCCTCCAGGAGGGGACCTGGTCCTCACCAGCACAATGTACGGGAATCTGTATCCTCCAGGAGGGGATCTGGTCCTCACCAGCACAATGTACGGGAATCTGTATCCTCCAGGAGGGGACCTGGTCCTCACCAGCACAATGTATGGGAATCTGTATCCTCTAGGAGGGGACCTGGTCCTCACCAGCACAATGTACGGGAATCTGTATCCTCCAGGAGGGGACCTGGTCCTCACCAGCACAATGTATGGGAATCTGTATCCTCCAGGAGGGGACCTGGTCCTCACCAGCACAATGTACAGGAATCTATATCCTCCAGGAGGGGACCTGGTCCTCACCAGCACAATGTACAGGAATCTGTATCCTCCAGGAGGGGACCTGGTCCTCACCAGCACAATGTACAGGGATCTGTATCCTCCAGGAGGGGACCTGGTCCTCACCAGCACAATGTACAGGGATCTGTATCCTCCAGGAGGGGACCTGGTCCTCACCAGCACAATGTACGGGAATCTGTATCCTCCAGGAGGGGACCTGGTCCTCACCAGCACAATGTACGGGAATCTGTATCCTCCAGGAGGGGACCTGGTCCTCACCAGCACAATGTACGGGAATCTGTATCCTCCAGGAGGGGACCTGGTCCTCCTCACCAGCACAATGTACGGGAATCTGTATCCTCCAGGAGGGGACCTGGTCCTCACCAGCACAATGTACGGGAATCTGTATCCTCCAGGAGGGGACCTGGTCCTCACCAGCACAATGTACGGGAATCTGTATCCTCCAGGAGGGGACCTGGTCCTCACCAGCACAATGTACGGGAATCTGTATCCTCCAGGAGGGGATCTGGTCCTCACCAGCACAATGTACGGGAATCTGTATCCTCCAGGAGGGGACCTGGTCCTCACCAGCACAATGTACGGGAATCTGTATCCTCCAGGAGGGGACCTGGTCCTCACCAGCACAATGTACGGGAATCTGTATCCTCCAGGAGGGGACCTGGTCCTCACCAGCACAATGTACGGGAATCTGTATCCTCCAGGAGGGGACCTGGTCCTCACCAGCACAATGTACGGGAATCTGTATCCTCCAGGAGGGGACCTGGTCCTCACCAGCACAATGTACGGGAATCTGTATCCTCCAGGAGGGGACCTGGTCCTCACCAGCACAATGTACGGGAATCTGTATCCTCCAGGAGGGGACCTGGTCCTCACCAGCACAATGTACGGGAATCTGTATCCTCCAGGAGGGGACCTGGTCCTCACCAGCACAATGTACGGGAATCTGTATCCTCCAGGAGGGGACCTGGTCCTCACCAGCACAATGTACGGGAATCTGTATCCTCCAGGAGGGGACCTGGTCCTCACCAGCACAATGTACGGGAATCTGTATCCTCCAGGAGGGGACCTGGTCCTCACCAGCACAATGTACGGGAATCTGTATCCTCCAGGAGGGGACCTGGTCCTCACCAGCACAATGTACAGGAATCTATATCCTCCAGGAGGGGACCTGGTCCTCACCAGCACAATGTACGGGAATCTGTATCCTCCAGGAGGGGACCTGGTCCTCACCAGCACAATGTACGGGAAATCTGTATCCTCCAGGAGGGGACCTGGTCCTCACCAGCACAATGTACGGGAATCTGTATCCTCCAGGAGGGGACCTGGTCCTCACCAGCACAATGTACGGGAATCTGTATCCTCCAGGAGGGGACCTGGTCCTCACCAGCACAATGTACGGGAATCTGTATCCTCCAGGAGGGGACCTGGTCCTCACCAGCACAATGTACGGGAATCTGTATCCTCCAGGAGGGGACCTGGTCCTCACCAGCACAATGTACAGGAATCTGTATCCTCCAGGAGGGGACCTGGTCCTCACCAGCACAATGAATCTGGTTTCCCCGTTTTCTGCATCACTTGGTATTATTCTGTATCCGATGCTCCTCTCCATCCTACAGATACATTGATTACAATCAGCACAGCGATCAATAGGAGGAAACCTTCCCCACATCTCACAGTCCCGGGGTGGCGGAAGGGTTAACCTTCCAGAGATGTGAAAAGTCAGATTCCCCCGAACCGGAACTGAGATCACCGAGAAAACGAGAAATTCTAGCAGTCAGCAAATAAAACGAGAAATACCAAATCCCAGAACACAGTGCTGACCGCAGAGAGAGAGAGAGAGAGAGAGACCGCATGGGGGATCCCATCCAACCAGCCTGAGAACCGGATGAACCCAACATATCCAATGTCTGTATATACAGGGAGAGGAGCTGACACTCTAATGCCCCCTCCCCCACAGTCACATCAGTCTCTGCACCAGAGGAGCTGACGCTCTAATGCCCCCTCCCCCGCAGTCACATCAGTCTCTGCACCAGAGGAGCTGACGCTCTAATGCCCCCTCCCCCGCAGTCCCATCAGTCTCTGTACCAGAGGAGCTGACGCTCTAATGTCCCCTCCCCCGCAGTCCCATCAGTCTCTGTACCAGAGGAGCTGACGCTCTAATGCCCCCTCCCCCGCAGCAGTCCCATCAGTCTCTGTACCAGAGGAGCTGACGCTCTAATGCCCCCTCCCCCGCAGTCCCATCAGTCTCTGTACCAGAGGAGCTGACGCTCTAATGCCCCCTCCCCCGCAGTCCCATCAGTCTCTGTACCAGAGGAGCTGACGCTCTAATGTCCCCTCCCCCACAGTCCCATCAGTCTCTGTACCAGAGGAGC